TGTGTATGCATGTCGTGTGTGTGTGCATGTCGTGTGTGTGTGCATGTCGTGTGTGTATGCATGTCGTGTGTGTGTGCATGCCGTGTGTGTGTGCATGTCGTGTGTGTATGCATGTCGTGTGCGTATGCGTGAGTGAGTCTGGAAAGAGTGGTCTTTCGCAGTCTTACTTCATTTTGAGATATCCCCTTATATTTGTTTTTATATCTGTGTCCGAGATGGTCTCAGGATACATAAATGTCGTTCTAGTCAGGAAGCATTGAGGCGATTCTGAGATCCAGATAGAAATGACAGGTCTCGAAGACACGAGTGTCTTCGAGATGAGCAACGCCTAAGTCGGTCAACACGACGGCCCAAAGGTTCATGGAAGTTCCTTTCGTCTCACTTGGATCATTTTTGAAAGAGATTTCATGCGTCTGCCATGCGAATGATCACAATGTAAAATTGTTGCCATACATCACCCTGCTGGGGAGAGCGGCGGTGTCCTCTCACTCGCGGAATGCTTGTTTCCTGCTGGGCGGTCAAGTGATGGGCCAATGAAGGTTCTTGAAAATGACCTCAGTTATGGTATGCATCGTGTTGTTTATGTCTGTAAGCACTGAATTGATAACTAAACTCTCTGAGGTGAAAAGATGGTGCGGCTGAGCCACACCCACGTGGAGGATGGTGTGGCTACACCACGCCGCAGGCTCCACCACTGGCCGTGATGAGAGGTGGCACGGGCTCCAGCGCGCGCCGCTGGCCAGCAGGAGCTACTGTCGCGGCCCGAGCGGGCGCGGCAGCTCGGGCGCCAGGTCGGGCCCGCTGTCCGACTCACGTGGTCCCACCCGTGCTCACGCGCGTCCAGCCCCCGTACCGAGCACCAGGTCGGGCCCGCTGTCCGACTCACGTGGTCACAGCCGTGCCCACACGCGTCCACCCCGCATACCGGGCGGCCCGCCGGCGACAAGGCGCTGCCAGTTGGTCGTGGCGATGCCGCACGTTCCGGGCGAGGTGTTATCCGCGGCGCCACGTCCTGTCCTCGTGCTCAGGGCGGCGCAGGGGCGCGCACACGCGCCGGAGGCAAGCTGCAGGAGAACGCGACTGTCCTGTCTGGCAGCCACAGTCCGGAATGGAAACGAGAGATAGCTCTCTCGCAAGCTAATTAACGAGAGTACATGCGTGAGATAGATCACGTCATGGAAAGAAATTAATGAGCAAACCAGACTCAGAGCTGCCTGTCCGCTGCTCAAATCGTTGTGGACTTAGAGGTGGCGCGTGTTAACCCTCGCGAGTACCAGCCCTACCAAACGCCATCGTGCTGCCCCGACCAGGAGGGAAACCTTTACCATGCACGGCCGAACGCGGCGCTGGGTGGCACCCTAACGCCATGCGGTAGTATTCGTGTGTTGACTGAACAAAGTCCTCTCACCACAGCGTAGCCACACACGACGTGAATTTTTCCAAGTTTTCCGACGTCATATTCGCACCACACACTGGACGCCTCGATAACAGCATGCAAGATCAACCGTCGAAGCATGTCCCTCTTACACCCGTAAGCGGCAACCTGAAATCCAAAATTGGCTCATGCCGACTCCTCAGCCACGCGCTCTTCTGAGACGGCCGGTCCCCCCCCCCCCCCCCCCGTTATCACACCTTGGCACCACATCGCCATCGCGGCCGGCGGCGCGCGGGCCCGCTTCGCATCGCCTGATTTACGGTAAGTGCCGGCGCCACGCCGCGCGGATTCCGGGGCATTCGCCCGCGGGGCGGAGACCGAGTGGCGGGGTCGACACGTCGCCATCGACGAGCTCAGAATAGGCCGGCGCCGCCACCGACGCCTGCCGTCGCGGGGCGGCGAGAGCAGCGAAATCACACCACTTCCGGGTCCGGGGATTAGCTTAGTCGCAGGGTTATCAGCGGGGGAAACATGCGGGGAATGTACACGAGCATACGGGGGTTGGCGCGATGACGTTATGAGTGTCCTGCGCAAGCGACTGCAGCGAAACCATTACCGACACCGTATAACTGAGTGACAGGTTACTGAGTAATCACTACACCCAAATGTGCATAGCCATCCATGGACGCCCCTACCCTCAATGAGTGCAATGATTGATTACAAATGTCATGACATGTCCGAGCATGCCATGGCGTCATCTAACGGCAAAAAACAAAAACTACAGGTTCCGAACTTCAACACTACCCTGTTCGATCACTCAAGAAATTTCGTTCTGATGATGAGCGTGCGGTGTAGCGCAACCTCAAATCCCGTACTAGGCATGCGGCAGTACTGAGCAACGCAAGACATCAGACATCAGACAGCGAGACATCCAACTGACGGATATCCGACACACAGGAATCAGACAGACATCCGACAGGCATCAGACCGGCGTAACGTTACCTCCAGTGCTGAACCAGGTACGCAGCACCCAGAGACGCGAGCACTGGGCGGGAAGTGTAGGGATAAGAAAAATTGGTGGCAAGGGGCTCATCGAGCCCTCAACCCCTCAATTTTCTGCAAGTGTAACATTGGCACTACGGGTGTTGATTGGCAGGAATGACCAAAAATGGCTTGCGGCCGACTAAGGACATCCATTGCCTCTGGTAGCGTTTAATGTCAGGGGATAAAACTGCACAGGACTAGCAAATGGTCATGACTGTCAGTAGCCCTTGATGCCCTGTTCCCACGCATGCATTTCGTCTAACAGGGTGGGCAGAGCATCAGGGCCCCGGCCACATGCGATCACACAGCGTTAACCATCTCTGCATTCATAATGCGCAGTTACTTGCGCAAATGTACATGCGCAAATGTGCATGCGCAAATGTGCATGCTACTTGGAGTGCTGACACTGTCAAAGGAGAGCTCACAGCAAGCGGATTGGGAAGTCACATGGCGTTTTAGTGGGCGCGTAACCTCCAGTGCGTTAATCAGCCGGCAGTTTACGTTTACGTTTCGCCGGACGGTACGTCACGTTCACGTTTAGTCGGAACGTAGCCCTTCATTGCAACAATGGTAGGCAGTTACTTGTATGCGCATCTTCTCTATTCCCACATGTATGACGGGGGAATAACCTGAGCCCGCAACGGAAGTGTCCGAAAAGAACTTCCGTCCAGCATGCGGCACGACACCAATTCCCCAGTCACCGGTGGGCTTACGCAGATGTCAGTTGCCGAGACTCCTCAGGCCCCCATGGCTCCACGGTAATGATATATCGGCTCGGGGCTCACGGCCTCCCGGGTGTGGGTACGGGAATAAGTGCATTGGGCTGCATATGGTGCGTCGCCGTGCTGGAAGCCGTCACCCCCATCAACCCACTCCTCCCGATCCTGAGCAGCGGAGATGAAGGTAAGCGTTTTCTGCTCTTTGCTTAAGGACTACTACAACGGAACCGACCCAGGACAACGGTATTTACGAGACACGGTTTTATTTCATTTTCTGGAAGATGGGGTCGGAACGGATTTCGCCTCACACATAGTGCGCTTGTTCTGAGCTCCTGGCTGACGCCAGCCACTAGTCAGATCAAACTCAACCTCGCGTGGTGCAGGATCGAGCACGAACATCTACCTGAAAACGCCACTTCAAAAAAAATGTAATCCTGGATTATACGACGGCAAAAGTAGATAACAAAACATCACAGCATGAATGACGCGCGGTCGTTCCGCCGGGAGCTGGAGCGCCGGCGCGTGCGCGGGACGATGCCAAGGAACGCTGGACTAGGCGTGACGCCGGACGGAACGCTGCCAGCCGCGTCTACAGCCGCTGGTTCACCTCCGGGATGATCTGCGTCAGCATGTCCCACTGCTCCAGGTTCATGCAGAGTCCTGCCAGTCAGAGACGCTGGGTCGGCGACGGTGTGACGTGAAGACATTAGCACTCCTGATCAGCCACGAAGGAAGAGCACACTCCAAAACACGCACAAATAAAACGGCAGTACGGCAAAGCATGACACTGAAAGCCTCAAAGGTGATGCCGGGCATGAAAAAATGCATTGTTTTTTCATATTAGGTTGCTTAAAAAGAAGCAAGTGACAGACTCATTCACATGGTAGGCTCTATCAACTACTGACCCTTCTTTCCCGGCTTCTGTTCGCCCTTGTCGTCTGTCCAATACTCCCGAATGTCCACGAACGTTTTGCTCTTGAACTTGCGAATCTTGACAAAGCGCTGGGTGCCTATCTTCCACGTGGGCTCGCCGTTGACAACCTCGCATGAGTCTTTCGTTTCCGAGGGACGTGACTTCTTGACCGGCTTCACCTGAGGAAATAAAATGAGTTACAAGTGACCCCTATGGGATATTGAGCCGAAACGAGCGCGTGGGCCACTGAAACACCAAAGTTATTTGATATTTGTAAGAGCAAGTGGTAACCATCAGCTCGCTGATGCCAAAAAGTGGGGTTTATGTGGACAGTACACAAAACCGTGTCACTAGAAAGCATTTGTGAGAACCTAATTCATACAATCCACCCTTAACCATCTCATCCCGGTAGTTCCAATGTACATATAATTTTATTCCCTGCTGGTTGAAACGACAACAGTTAACTCGCAAACAACATTCAGCAAGCAAATATGCAGCAATAGCAACAACAGCAGCAGACTATTACATGAATAATTATGAAATGGTGATACTATTGAATCATATAACAGCTGGCCAACAGTGCTATCTTAGAGGTATAGTGCGATCAGTTCTACTGCTTTATGTGAATGCTATGTGACTCCTGACATCCATGCACTGTGACCTCTCCTCTGATAGTGTCAGTGCTGTGCCAGGAGGGGGAGTATCAGGCTGTCACCTCTGTGCCATGGGCCTTTTGTGCCATGGGCCTCTGTGCTATGGGCACTGCAGCTTTTTTGTGAGCTTTCCAAACATATGTCATGCCTCGGCGATTTCGTCGCTGATCAGAGCTTTGAGCCATGCTGATATTGCCCATACCAACAAAAAAAAATCAATCTGGCCAGTCCCTGACCTTGCACTGATCTAAACACCATAACCTGAGTGTTTGAGAGAGCTGTTCTACTGGTAGTCCTGCCAGCTGATCATCTTTGTCATCACTAATTTAAGTAGTGTCTCAGATTCCCCAATACATCAATCACTGGCAAAGACAATTAAAAACAAATATAGAGGGGTGAATGGAATGCAATGGTTTCCATGGGAGTCAAGTATCTATGACAGCAGCTGCATTGCAAGTGTATACAAACCTTAATTGCTTTGAAACTTTCATAGCCTATCAGATCTCCCCCTATACAAATTTTTGACTGAATTGTTTTTGTTTCAAAAATTTCCATTTTCTGTTGTGGAGAAAAACAATACTGGAAAAGCAATCTTATATTACACATCCAGATGGTAAGGTGAGGCCATTCATGCCTTGACAGAAATGCCTATGAAGTAACAGCAGATACAAAATAAGTTGTTTTGGCATGTTAAGCAACATAGCCTTATCATCCCACAAAAGATAACTGCATGCATTGAGTTGGCTGCCTCCCTGTAACCCACTACTATTTAGCATGCAAAAGGCACATGAATAAAAGGTCAGCCAACCATGGCTATAAAAAGTGAGCACTCCTGAACTATCACTTAAACATGGTACTGGGTATATACAGGAAAAGGTGATGAATGTTGAGCTTCAAAGGTTGGATGAAAAGCAGCTTAAGCCCTAGCTAGCAAAAACTGACACCACGATAGCATTAACTGATTTTGATATGGTCTGATCTTATCCACTACTGAACTGTAGAACAGGCTTATGTAGAGAAATGCATAAAAAAATGGAGTGAATTCTGCATTAGACCATGCAGCTATTGTTAAACATGCTAAAGCTGGCTTGTCAGAGAAGCATGCCCTGAAAGAAGGCTTGGTGAAACCTGCTTCCAGCTCTCATTCAGCCACACTACTGCCAGAGACATTAAATTTTCCAGAGTATGATGCCTGGCCTGGTTAATCTGTCTCTAGCTGATTGCGGATCCAGTATATGAAACTGAATGGCCATTGGCCACATTGTATGGTGTTTTGTTAGTTATGGGGTGTAACAGGCATTTCAACCTCACCAGGCTGTAACCCAAATCCTTCAATTTGGTTTATTTGTTGTTTATTGGATCTGAGGCTTTCTTGCATGTTGTAGCAAATGAGGTTTGCTGAATTGTTTTCATTTCAACACTATAAACAGCAGGTGGGTGTGACAGGTTATTTCTCCCAAGTTCCAAAAAGTCTTCAGTATTGGATACAGCCATAAACTAAGATAATTTGGCCTCCAAACACCAAAGTCAATCAGTAGATATGTGTCAGTATTTCATGGTGCATTCAAAGCCTTAAGCAGCATATTAGAATATTTAGTGTTGAAGGCACACATTTTGCTCCCAGCAAATATCTGCCAGTCTTGACTATCTAGCCCAACCTTGAGGCCAGACATGGATAGGTGTCAACCCAGCATATCCATAGTACTTTGTAATAATGTTACTCCATCCTCATTCCAATTTTTGTACCAAATTCTACTATGTCACAGCCAGCAATGTAGCCACAATGTTTACTCTTGTTGCTTGGCAAATGTATGAATTTGATGTCAAATCAAGTAATCTTCTAAGCATTCTAGGAAATACAACTTCTATTTATTTCTTACTTCTGAGTATTCAAGATAATGAAAGAAAAGACAAAGTAGATCAACATGGAGCACTGCAAATTTGGTTGGGACATATGGGAAGCCAGTTCCATTTATCAAAAGATAGGAGGAGAACCAAGAATATGGAGATTTCATTCAAAGAGCTGTGAACTATTGGAATGGGCCCTCAAATCAAGTTGTAAGAAGTCCCCCTCCAGCAAAATTACAAAACTGTTTGGACAAGTCTTATCAATCTTGAGATCTCATTTATAGCTAAAGTCATGCAAGTCAGGTGGTAAGATTAGTTCTGAAGACGTGCGGGGAGCCTGAGGTGAGCCAACCTTATGGCCTCTTGTGACTCTTTGTTGGCCAGATGTCCATATCTTCATGTTTGATATCTTAATTTGAACCATTTCAGGGACAATTTCATACTTTGCCACTCCAAACCACAATTATGGCAACAACACATCACCATTACTTATTAGTTTTTTAGGGGGTCTCGACTTTGATGGTCATTCTGTGCCCATGCCATCATTTCAGTCTGCTAGTAAACCAGTATGCATGGCAAGCATATCCGGGGTAACACGGACCCATTTTCTGAGTTTGAGATCATACATCTTTTCAGGGGAATATGGCTCACTACACAGCAGACTTACAAAGCCATGTGTTGGAACAGAGAAAACTTACATTATCACTACCGGAATCAGAGCTGTCTGAGTCCGATACCGTCCTCTTTGATTTTGCGCTGGCTTTCGGCATGTTGAAAGCTTGTCTTGTCACGGAGTCACGCACTAACCAATTCAAAGCTCCAGGGAATGGTATTGGCCAGGCAAGCAGCGTTTCGTGAAATAAGTAGGACTCCGGACTCCCGCAGCTACTCCAGGTATGCCGCTCTTCTTTCCTGAGACTGGCACCGTCCCGCCACCCCGGCGTTTGCTCTGGCGCTCTTCGTCGCACGCGATTCAGCTTCGGTGGTAAACACGTGCAAGATAGGCGAAACGTATTTACTGCCATAGTTTGCTCATAGGTATGATTTATACAAATACCTGACCGATGAGAATTTATTTAGTGCTGATGGAATAACCCTGACTCTTTCACTACTTCTGAGAATGTGCGTTGCGTTAGATTGAGCCATTCCAAAAATAGCGAGGTATTGGGGGTTGAATGGCCGTAGGATTGATTGGGCTAAATCCAGCGTCACGGGTCAGACCAGCACAGCTTGGTGGCCAAGCATGAATTACGTTACGCATATTTGTTATCTTACGCGAGGGAATTTTCCATTAAATGTCATCGTTCGCTGTTCCTTAATTTTATCGCTTTACTCTTAGGCTGCATTCCCCGTACCTCCCACCATTGCGTTACGCGGGGATTTTCCAGTTTATCGGTGTTTCCTTCAACTCGGCTTTTGCCGTCCGCGTAACTAGGAGTGCTGGCTCCTTATTTTTTCAGCAATATTGTCATGCTCACCCGACGGATTTTTCTCAAACACCAAACGGCAATCACGAGATTCCTAAAGCCCCGCTTACATAAAAGTAACAAGTGCTGCGACTGACTCAATTTAGATGAAGTTCCCGTGTAGTTTTTGAAGCTACGCATTCGCATAACGACATTGTGTAATGCATAATGTTATGAACACTTTTCAGAGATGGTGGCTGTACCCGCCAATAATCAGCCCTCACAGAAAAGTTCCCTGGAAGTGATACGTATGCCGGCAATAAGCACATTTGCTTAGATTAATCATGCATGTCGCTGTTGATGACGTCCGTTGGCTAGATGGTCCACTGCATTGATTTGCAGGTAATTACCATCGAGTCAATTCCCTGTCATAAAACGACTGCCAGGGGTGACTACAAACAGTGATGAAAGCATTCGCGCACCGACATCGCGTGGTCTTTTACGAAACAGATGCTTTCGTCCTAACATGACCAGCAAAGCGTCACTTTACCTGGGTTTCCGCAGCTAGCACTCATACATTCACACTGACTCCTGCATGCTTGTCACCGGTCATATTTAAGGGAGGCCTGAAGTGTGGTCACTACACACTGTCTGCAGCTTATGTGTAGTGACCAGACCCCTACGAGCGCAACCGTGCAGCCATACACCACCCTTTCCTCGGAATTTGTCCTCAGTAAATAGTAGCCACCTGGTGCAAGGTTCACTACGGGATCATAATACAGCCCCCAACTTCACTCGTCACAGAATAATGCCGGCATCTCTCACCGGCTCTAAATATTTTGGTGCCGGAATCACACATCGGCACGCCGGGATCCGTCATCGGCTCGTAATATTTTGTCACAGGAATCACACCTCGGCGCGCCGGAATCCCCCATCGGCTCGTACGTGCGAACCTCGGCATCTGGAATCGCTGTGATGATTCTGACAAAGCTATCATCAGTCAGCGAATTCACTGCCGCTGCTCAGGGTCAGTTACTCATGGACATCTCATCAAACCCCTTTCTCTGGTCATGGGTGTGGATTGCTGAAAATGATTGGAGAGGCCAGAGACCTGGAAGTTGCCATAAGGAGGCAGGTACGAAAAATTTCTCGGATATAGTCCACTTATGTTTTGGTTTCTGGCAATCAGTCATAAGCATATATGTATATGTATATATATATATATATATATATATGTGTGTGTGTGTGTGTGTGTCTGTATATATATATATATATGTATATATATATATATATATATATATATATATATATATATAATCACCCTACCACATCTTTTTGTAAGTTCATGTGCGTAGCCACCGCGGTCACATATGGAAAGCTGGCAGGTTTAATCAGCTTGGTAAAAACGTATTTTTCTGAAGCTAATGTGGTGCAACTGCACCTCCCTCTTGCAAACCAAAAAGCAAAATATGTGTACACTTTACCATTCTGTGCCTCTGTAGTTATTTAGTTAACAAATTTATGCATTCAGAAGAAAAGTGTCCGCAGTATTTCTAGCGTTGCATTCCGTTTACATGAAGCTTCTTGACATTTCTACATTGCCATCGATAAACCATGTGTATTTTAGTTAATGTAAAACAAAACATAAGCACTCTTCCACGCATCACGTAAGAAAGAGGCTTTCAACCTTTCTCCAAAATGCTTAGGCACATGGCCTGAGGTTATTTGAAGTAGGCGCATGCTCTAGATGACATCTTCCCCGCTCACTTCATCAAACACGCATTGGCAGCCAGCTGTAATCCAGGGAGGTTCTGTTCCAAGCTGTTGTGCCACTGAAGGGAGCGCGACTCTTACCCGTTTCAGTTCGAATGTGTGGCAAATGAAACGAGCATAATGTTAATGCCACGCGCAGGGCAGGTCGATTGTAAAAGTGTTGCCAGTGGAGCTGGTTCCTCAGTGACCATGCTCGTCTGGGAAGGCTTAACCTTTGTTCAGAGCCGAGAAGTGGAAGAATTACGTAACATAGCCTTGACTACGCGACCTCTCAAGCTTTAGGACAAACATTCTGATGACTGACGTTGCAATCTCCGCAGGCCGCGCTGGGTCGGTCTCCTCGTGAACGTTAGGCGGTGGTCGGCAAGCGGATAAAAATGGCAACGTTTTTGCAAGAGGCACCTCTGAAGGCTATAGGATATCGATTTGCATGTGTAGAACGTCGTCAGGAGCATGCTTTACCTGCGCAATTTATATATCTATGATAGAAACGGATTAGCATTCACAGCACTGCGATCCGTTGTCAGAATTTGGTGCTGAAACTAGATAAGTAAACACAGAATTTCTTTTTGCTGGTTTTTTATCTGTACAGGGGACATCTTTGAAATGTTACATGTGAACCTTTTCCCCAGTCTAATTTTGAGCCGTACGAATTCATTTTAAAAGACCTTCGGAGGCATTATTTTACGGCGGCTGTTCTTCGGTGCGTCAGGTGCTCGCCGCTCGGTGTTGGCCCGCTAGCCCCGCTCAGTTTGATGGAAACTGCAACCTCGGCCATCGGTGTTCTTGCTTGTAAGATTACGAGTACGCAGGCTCAAGGTTTTAAGTCATTTGTTAGACTTGTTGCGTCGGAGCGAGGATGGACGCGGAGGTGCAATTTTCCAAAATGGGTTGGGGAAGGCTGAGCCAAGGAAGTTGACCTAACCTGCTCTCAAATCCTGATTACTTTCTGGATTTTGGTCACTTCTTTTTGCGTCATTGGTAACAAAATTGAACTAAAAACGCTATTTGGTCGGTTTCAAAATTGCTTTGATAGTGAGGAACTACTTCCCTTTTGAAACCGGTGTGACAGTGATAACGATAACAAATGAAGATAACGATACAGATCGTAATGCGTTTAGGACCTGTACCGTACCCGCTGTGACCGCACTAGCTGCATTTCATTGGCCCAGTGTTTCCTTTTTAGCTCATGTGCATTTGGGTCGGGGTTCAGAAGATCATTGAAATGGATTAAGGAGAATGTCCCACATTTATATGGGGTTTTTAGAAGAAAAATACATTTTGAAGATTATTCGGTGCAGTTCACAGTCTTGTCCTTCACAAGACCTAAAATCCTCGAGTTTCTCAGCGTCGTTCAGGCATGTATGACGCTATAGTAACGACATTCAAATCCTGCCACCCCACGGACCATGCGGTGTTCAAGGCCAATAAGGGTATATCGTTGAGCCATTCAGATCTGGCGTCTGTGAGCACGATTTCCAACTCCAGTGGACGCCAACTGGTTCCCACTCCATATTGAGCAAGCTGTGCAAGTTCCAATTACGAATCACGTTTCACGCTACGTGATATAAGAAGTTGGACATGGTTGTTAGTTATTACGGAAATGAGGCTTATGATCGAACAACTTAAGAATGGCGCCATAACTGAGTTTATGAATGTAAGCAAACTTCTTAAACTCACAGAAAATGTGCAAAAACACCAAGAGCAACGGCCAAAACACGAGCACAGAACGGAATTCGACTCGGCGCCGCGATCTTATTTCGGCGGGTCGAAATACTATATGTGCGTGCTAAGGTGGCAATCTCGCACGGCTAGTTTGGCAGCACCTCAATGTCATACAAACGCTCCATTGACGCAAAGCATATCCCTTATCGACGCATGTGGCCAATAATTGGCACACAGACTCCAGTTTCGCATGAGGGGCCTCTGCCTGAAATAGGGTAGAGAACTGCGATGAAACCCCAGACTGACTGAAACACGGACCTGATCTTCTTTTGTCTCATTATGGACTCCCATCATCAATGAGCACATCCACTCCCATTGCCAGAGGTTCCCGTCCAACGCAATAGGCCCTCTAGCACTCTGGGTCCAATCTCTGTCCCTGTTCCGCAAATGTCACCCCGGCCGACTCGGAGCCCCCACCGACAAGGAACCTTCCGTGGCCCCTAACCGAAGCAGGGGCCTCATTGTCTCAGGAATCCCGGCCAATGCAAATCGCGAGTCCCAGCTTCCTTTTTGTTTGGGAAATGGGCCTCCAGGGCTTAGACCGACACAGAGCCAACGGCGTTGGTGTTCTCTGACCAAAATAGAGGTCCTCGTCGTCTAAGGGTGACCCCAAGCGGTGTAAGACACTCTGACTGGCATTTCAGGGCCCGGTCCTGTAGATCGGGTCCCTTAATGTGGCCTACAGCGAGCCCCTCGTACCTTCCAGTCAGACATTTGATCGAAAGCCCTTCTGCGGGCCCCTCGAACACCGTCCCAGGCCGATTCCGGGCTCCTTCCCATACAGGACCCTTGTCATGCACTGTGATCCCCAAATCGATACAGGGGCCCTTCATTGTCTCAGTGGCCCCGACTGATGTAAATCGTGGCCTTGTCAATGCTTGGGAAATTGGTCCTGAATCCTAGACCTAGCGCCGGATTAATCTGGTTGCGAATCCGTCACGTGTCGCGGTCGTTAAGCCTCGGCCGCAGGGGTGTAGTTTCGCAAAATAGGCCGGTGGAGGCTGAGCAGCGTAGCCTAGTTTTAACTACACTAAAAATACCCAT